TAATGGTCCGAATCAGTAATGGATATTGACTCCGAGACACTTCGAGGTTTCTTTGGCGGTCCGAAATGGTCTGTACCGCGAGCTCCTCGATACTAGCTCCAATGGTTGCCGACCACATGCTCACCCTCAATGAAGGTGAAGTGCATGCAGACCAAACAGCAAGCGTTTGAGATCGGAAGAGCGGATCAAGAAGAACATCTGCCTCGTCAAATATCAGGGTTTCCACTTCGGGTAAAGATTGCGGAGATGAGTCTCCGTCTTCTTCCCAAGACGGACAAAGAAGATGTACGAGGCTGAGTGGTGTCGAGACAAGAATGTCGGTCTTGACGGGAGCCGAGCGCATGACAGGTCCGCTTTCATCCTCACTTTGATCCGCCTCTGCCTCTTCTTCAGACTCCTCTGCACATGAAGGTGCTAATTCTTCAAAAAGTCTCATCCCTTTCTTTGCTGCTGTAATAGTCACACCCGTCTTGGTTGTCAGTTTCCTCCCCTCGTTGACTATCTGGAAGACCAATTCCTTTGTAGGAGCCAGAATGATGGCACGAATATGTCTGTCAACAGTGGGCCCAGAGTGTCGATGAGCCCTCGAAATCTTCTCGATTAATGGAATAAGGAAAGCAAGAGTTTTGCCGCTTCCTGTTGGTGCGATGGTCAAGAGATCAGGCTCGGCATTTCGTTGTTCATCCAAACCTTCTAATAGCAGTGGAAGGGTGGCGATTTGAACCTCGGTCGGCTCGAAATATGCCTGGTCTGATATGTTTCGTGCCAGAGTCGCGTTGATTTCATAAGTCGCACGCAGTTGGTCAAAAGATGTAAGCGGCTGAGGAAAGAGGCGCGACTGTTCTTTTTGCGCCTTTCTTGACTCCGACGACCTACCCAAGGAGCGGAAGCGGTTCAAATCCACAATCTTGATTTTGTGTTTCTTGTGGAGTTGGCGGATTTCCTGTTCGGACAGTTGTGTAGACGTTGTCGCATGGGTACCATCACGATCTGCCTGACCCGGCTCTCTCTTCCGTTTTCGGCTAGCAATAGACTCTGTTGCATCCTGAATGAGTGCTTGTCCTGATGCAGAAGGGATATTTTGTGGCGACGGTCTCGAAATTTTTGATTTCAGGCCCGTTGAGCGGGATAGCAGTTTGAGAGCATCCATGGCTTGTTCGAACGATTGGGAACCACTAAATCCTATGCAATACAGACAGGAGGTGTCGCGATACACGGGTGAGACTGACGCCTGTTGTGGTGGGTTCTGAAACTTGCTTGTCCTGATCAAAGCATCAAAAGCTTCGAAGACGGCGAGATTTTGGGTTTGATGCCAAGAACTCGGAGTATATATTTTCCGGGACCGAACAACCCTCGCCCCCTCCTACCACTTTTCAGCATTCATCTGAGTACGAGAGCGCTCTCTTCAAATGTCAACGATGCTTGATTCACGCCCCGACGTATTCGGCGAATATGCTTCATTTATCAAATTATACATCTAGCAGGCTTGCGGCGAGTCCCTGACCGTATTATTAGGTCACAAGCCACCGCGTATGTCCAGAGGTGCAGGGATGAACTAGTAGCTCTAGGTATTGACGGTGTGCTGAGTCTGAGTGCTCGCGTTAAATTTGGCGGCATGGTATCATTGACAAAGGTTCAGACACAGAAGCTTGTGAAACCCAGACTGAACAATCAAGCTGTCGATATCAGAAACTCGACCTTCCCCAGGGAGGAAGGATGGGTTCGACAGGATGATCAGCTCGTGTATACTCGCTTTTGAAATGATATCGCCCGGAACCCACCCAGCAACCATCAACTTCCAAACCTTGAGCTCGTTTATCACGCACTTCAGGCAAAACAATGCAGGCGTGAGCGTTTGGGGGGACCGTAACGTCCATGCTGAATGTGTTGCCATCCAGCTTCCAGCGACATTCTATGCGTCCATAGACAGACTCGTAGATGATTTCAGCATACGAGAGCATCCGATTAACGCACGGCTCAATCAGGATGTTTTTCCAACCAGGCCTGTCGGCCTTGATCCCACCAACGCTCTCGTGCAACCAACTTGTGACAGACCCCAGCGCGTGATGATTAAAACTTGTCATGCTGGCTTCGTTGATATGGCCATCGGGCTTAAGACTATCCCAACGCTCCCATATTGTCGTTGCGCCCATGCGGACTGGATAGAGCAATGAGGGAGTGGATCGTGACAGAAGCATTTGGTAAGCCAGCGTGTCCTGGTAGGACTTCGTGAGGCTGGGGAGCAGAAAGGCCGTGCCGACAAAGCCGGTTGAGATACAGAAGTCGTCAAAGCGAAGGGCACGGGAGAGGCGCGCGGCTATTGCTTGTTCACTGGACACGAAATGAGATCTCTCGTCGGAAGGCAAGAGGTCAAAGGCGATGGCGAGCGCATGTGCTGTGGGCGTGTCAGGGACCAGAAGTCCTGCTGGTGTCACATATTTCGCTTGAAAAGCCATCAATAGCTGGGAGTGAGTAGCACCAAAGTCAGAAAAATCGTCCGATTTCTGAAGCTCTTCGGCGATGAAGGCCATTCTCTCCGTCGACTCAATCAGGAAACAGTCTGCGACAAAGGTACCATCTGTCCGACCTCTTCCCGAGTTATTGGGCGGCGCAGAGGGGTCCAACCAGTCGCCAAACTGCCATTGATAGGGATCCCAAAGACCATCTTCACCACGCCGGACACCCTTTTCAAGGTACTGCTTCATGCTGTCATATTGGCGCGACAGAATATTGATATCTTTTGTCGTCATGTAGAGCTGGAATGGTACCATGACTGCGGCGTCCCCCCAAACTCCATTCTGCATGTGATGCCAGCCGTCATCTTCAGGGCCAAGTCCTGTCAGACAATTTGGTACATAGAGCGGTACCATTCCTTGCTTCCAGTTCTTGTGATTGTCCATTTGATCGGCATACAAATCTTGCAGCCAATCTCCCAGAATCCCGCCAGTATCATAGAGAAAGGTGGCAGTTGGTGCAAAGAGATTTAAATCACCTGTCCATCCCAGTCTCTCATCTCTAGAAGGACATTCAGTCGGTACGCTGAGGAAGTTCCCCCTCATACTCCACACTGTGTTTTTGTGTAGTTGGTTTACCTCATCATTGGAGCAGGAGAACCAACCCGTTCTTCGCATGTCAGAATGCATCACTTCCGCAACGACACTGTCCTTCGTCAAGGGCGTCTCAGCGTCCTGTTCAGACCAACCCGACACTTCGACGAATCGAAACCCATGAAACGTAAAGTTGGGTTGCCAGTCTGTCAAGACTGTTCCTGCACATATCACTGTGTCTTTCGCTTCCGCTGTGCGCAACGGACCTGTGCCCAGCTCGTCGTTTTCAACTACTTCTGCGTGGCGGAATGTGACTTTGTGTCCCGCAGGCTTGAGGAGACGCCTGATGCACAGTCGACCGGCGATATTCTGTCCGAAATCAATGATGATTTTACCAGATGCAGATTTCGAAAATGACTTCGGTCGAAGGCGTTCCGTTACTCGTACTGGTGGCCCGTTGGGCGAGGTCAGAGGTGCAACAGCGATGTTTGAGACTCTAGTTTCACTCCATGTGACCTGGGACAGCTCATCATGTGCCCGACCTATCTCTATGGCTCGTTGCTGGTCATAGATTTCTCCATTGTAGATCTCGCTACTCAGAATAGCTGAAGTGGTAGCCGTCCAGGAAGAGTCTGTACAGACAATAAACGGCTCATCAGTTCCGTCGAATTGCACTTCTAGTTGCGCCAGGATACCAAGCTCGGTGCCGTAAACAAACCTTCGACAGACCCAGGACAAGGCTGATGCGAACCACCCAGGTCCTACATCAAGCAGAAGGACGTTTTCAACACCAGGCAGAAGGAGGCCCCCAACATCATGGACTTGGTAGTGGAGACGCTTGTTATAACTTTGCCAACCTGGTGCCATACACTCGTCTCCGATTGACTTGTTATTGAGACGTGCAAAGTAGACTCCATGGCTGGTGGCATATAGTCGGGCCATTTTGATTGTCCTGTTGGAGGGTAAGAAGAACCGTTTTCGAAAAATCAATGGACGGGCTGATCCATTATCGTTCAGGAGGACAGAACCCTTGATTGTGATCATGCTGGCCGCCCAGTCATGGCTGTCAAGCAGAGCAGCCTCGACCATGCTCCAGTCTGACCAATTTGAGAGTTCTATTACCTTTCGCGAGGTATTCTCTTCATCTTGACCATACATACCATAGCACCGGACACGAACCTTCCGTTGCTCCCTGGATTTCAAAGCGCTGCAAAGGGGAGGCCATGGTACGAGTACTGATACCGAACTGTCGACATGGTATAACTCAGTCTCACCGCCGCTTACAGGACGGATTTCAAGCTGATAGGCTGTCTGGACCCAACCATAGACATGGTCGTTTGTGGTACAAAACCGCCAGGAGATTCTAGGTCTGCAAAATTGGACACCAAAACCAGAATGATGTTGCTCAAAAGTAGGGGCCGTAACTTCGACCGAGGGAATGGGGAGTTCTTTTGCTAGGTGAGGTAGACCAGTCATCCTGCACCCAGGCACTCAGAAACTGTAGGTGCCAAAGGGTCTTCTCTGCGACGTAGAGAAGGTTGTCCCGAGATGACTCCTGCGGTTGATCAGCCATCTCGCGCGGCCCAAGTTCTAGATCAGTTAGCGACGCTGCGCGTGTCGAATTCGGCTAGGGAAGGATGTACTGGGGACAAAAGCACCATGACCATGGGCGAGAACTGCGACCATAGTTGCATAGCAAAGTGGGCGATCCCAGGTCAGTGGCGGGGAATTGGGGCCGAATGAGACAGAGGGAAAGTGACGCGGCAATGACTGACGCACCTGCGGACGCCCCTCCACATCAACATTGTGGCGACTGCGTGCACCTTGATGTTTCTTAACGACAACAAGACTTGAGACACAAAGGTCGAAATGCTCGAAGAACGTCTAAATGATGACTTAGAGACTCTCAGAAGTCTATCATTGCCTATTTGAAGCCGCGCCCTTTGCCGAAATATGGTCATCGGACTTCTCATCCTCACCTCGATTCCCACCGTCACAGGTGTCGCTCAAGCTATTCATGGCCAGAAGAAGCACAAGGAGCGCGAGAAGGATGCAAGGCGCATGCAAAAATTCTACATCGACGTCAGCTGTGAAGCCCAGAACTCTCGGATACGTGAAATCCACGAGAAGAGACTCGTTCTGAGAGATGACCGTGTGTGGATAGGGCCGCATGAAGCTTTGAATCCGTGCAAAGAAGGATATGTCGCCGAAGCGTTCTATATCGAGTATCCAGACAACGAGGTAAGTGACCCCAAATCAACCCCAAGTCGTGCTATGTGAACTTCCAGACTGATGGTTTGTCCTAGAGAGTTCCCGTTCCCATGGGCCTTGTTAGCCAAGTTCGAGACGATCCTCCGCTGTTGAACTGGATATACGTGGACAAAGACACGATGGAGCTGAGATATGGCAATAAATCAGCCAGTATAGAGCACCATGTCGGACCGTGGGATTGGACAGAAGACGAACAACGTATAACTTTTGATGAAAGCGAGGCCTTTGTGGCTGTCGAAGACACCTCCACGCGACAATGGCAGCTATATTATGACATGGAAAATGACGGACTCAATGGTTTTCTTGCGAAGGGTAGACGGAGATTCCAGATCAAGCTGGAGCGGACTTTGATACCAGGAGCAGAGGGAGGGAAATAACGATGTTATGCTGTATATGTACATGTAAAGTTTTATCGCCTGTAAATCAAACTAGGTGAATTTCCCTATATTTCGTGTTTCGTGAATCATGTCAATTTAAACTCTCATTTTCAAGTTTCTCTAGACAGTTTTGAGAATGTCTCTGTCCTCAAAGAAGAAATGTTTATAGACGCGGGTGAGGCACTTCTGACGCGCGCAAACATTAAAAGTCGCTCTGCACGGTTGATTTATCATTTCACTTCAAACTGCATTTCCCCCCAGACAATTCTTCATCCTCATCACCGCTCGTTCTCATTCGTCATGGTTCTCTGTTCGCACATTATTGCCTCTCTCATGAATTACTAAGATGTCAGGAAAACACGCCTCCCGCCCTGACCCCTCTTGGGAGATAATCGGTAGAAAGGGTCAGTGGCAGGTCCTTCCTATCCAGCCCTACAGTGATGCGGACCAACGGATCTGGCCTCCCAAACCCTACAGGCCTAGTTCTGAAGAACGGCACTTGATCACTCTGGCAAAAGCATGGTCAGAGAAGATGGGCATCCAGCGAGCGGGTAAGCAATGTTGTCGCGTCTGCTACTCAACCTCACAATGTCATTGGGTCAGATGAGTGACCACCAATGAAATGGATGTTGAACCCTTCTGATCCTGAACACAGGTCTGAACTACTATCTCGACCACCTCCCTCGTGGCTATGCCGTGTTCGAAATAGATCAGCATGGAAAGACAGGCGTGACCTATAAGCGACTCTTTGGCCATCAGTCTGGCAAGTACTACGATTCCATTCTTCGATTTCAACCACATTTCCTTTGGTTGATGTCGGGAATGCAGGGTATTTGTGAATGCATACTCTGTGGCTCTTACAAAGCGGAACCGATCAAACGTCGATTTCGCATTCACTCAGAAAACCAGCTCCTCGTCCCAAGGGAAAACCAGCTTGAAAGCGAATCCTCGTCAAGGTCAACTTCCATTGCTGGTCGTGCGACTGGGTCTTTTTCAAATCGTCCGCAGCGCCATATCAAAGCCGCAGGAGCTCCGTACGCTCAGGACGCGGAAGGGACGGAAGACGTGTTTAAAGACCAATTGAGGAGACTAGAGGCCAGCAAAGGAGGCACAACCGGAATCGAGGACGACGTTAGAGAACCCCACTCCATCGACTGGAGAGCTGAGCACTCCTGGACGACTCAAAATGTTCAAGACTGGGCTGGGATAGATCATGTTCAGCGGAGTTTGACTTTGATCGAGCATCAACACGCCTTTGTGCCCCGAGTCGGAGAACTTGTGTTATTTTGTCCAATCTTCCTTCATGAGCACTACCTCATGCTCGATGAAAAGACTCAGGAGTACAAGTTCTATTCCTTTACACAGAAATGTTTTCACGGCTTACCTACCTGGAGAGGTGGAGTTATCACGGCTGTGCCGTCTGCTGTTGCAACCGATGGACCCATCGATTTTCCGGATATCCAAGACCTTCCCTCTAAGCAGAACAATCTTAACACCGGAGGCTTCCGAGTGGAAACATTTCCGGATCCTAATGATGAGGAGGATAAAACAATGTCCAAACAATACCGCTATCTCCCCTTACGGAATATCCGACCCTTGAGTCACTGGCAGATGTTGCTCCGAGGAACTCCGAGGAATCAATGGCACCCATCAATCGAACATGCTCTGACTTGTATGACTAGTATCTCACTTCTGGAGAAATGGTACTTTAAGGGAGATTGGCCTTACGCCACCATTCGCTGCAAGGGTATTTACATAGGGCCTGAGCTAATCACGGTCGGAGATGCCGTCAGAATCGCCCCACGTGAGAAGGGGAAAGGATGCACTGATGTGCTGGTTGTTGAATCAGTCAGACTTCATCTTGACGACATCAAGCCGGAGCACGTCGCCCCAGATTCACCGTTGCTATCGACGAGATCCTACATAACCCTGGTGGGCAGAGGCTACACCATTGACCAAAGCCGTCATTATCAGCTCAAACCTGAGGATGCCAACTCCCAACCCGGTGGTGCTGAAGCGGTGTCTCAAGACGAGGTTAAGACAGTCTTCCGCCCAGTAGGTTCAGCGCTCTACGGTCCATGGTACCGCTTGCACGAAGCTCATCAGCGATATGAGATTTCGCACGACCAAATCCTTGGAAGACTGTGCGAAGGTGCAGCTGTGCAGCTCTGGACGGGGTTGCTGCAACACAAGTCTGCCAAGAGTAAGGCAAGTGGCATCAAACCATCCCTGGATTACGACTTGAAAGGGATTGAAGATGGTCGTGTCTACGCTACGCAGGCAGATGGACGATTGGGAGAGGCCGATATGGGCTCTGTTCTCTGGTACTGGGCGGATACTCGCGCTGAAGCATTGGATCTACAAACGATAAACGGACTTGAGGTCGGCAAATACGACACAACACGGGACAAGGATACACTGGAACATTGGAGGACGCAACTGAAAATTCTCAATGGCCAACAACTCTCGCTTGACCCAATTGCCTCCAAATACACCTCTAACTTCCCCGATTTCGAAGTAAACGAGTCCAAGCGGGGAAGGCCGACAGGTTCAAAAGTCATCAACGGCAAATTGTATAGGCCTGGCGATCCTGGATACGAGGATGCCATTGCCGGAGCGATTCTAGAGCCGCAGACAATGCCAATTAAGCGTAAAGGCAGCCAATTGGCAGGGGCAGCCCTTGTGTCCACAGACGAGGAAGACGAAGAAAGAGAGGCCTCTGGGACTGAAGTGGAATATTGGTACGATGCAGCAGACGCCCCGGCAGTGGTCCAGACGATTGAAGAAGTTGAACGCCCTGTGCTGAAGCAAAAGAAGCAGAAGACAAAGGCACAGATCATGGCCAGAGCGGTTGAGGACGAGGAGATCTCAGATGATGAAGATTGGTACAGACATATTCCGCTGGCTCGAGGTGGAACTGAAGAGACAGAAGGTGGTGATTACGATCCCCGAGCCGATGCGGATTAGCAGTAGCAGAGACAAGGAGGAAATTGAGGAAGACGGAGCATGCTTGTGGGCTAACCCGTATGTGTTTCTTGTGAGAGAGAGTCTTCTGTTGTGTGTGAACAGGGCTGTCTGCTCAGCGAACAAGGGACGATCTGTACGATCAAGTTGAGCTTCAATCAAGAATCAGAACTGAGGGACCAGAGTGCGAACAAGGACCAGAGTACGTCGAAAGGTCAAAAAGGTGAAGTATTGGAGGCTGAAAACGGCTTAGCGTCATTTCATGCCAAGGCGAGTCACACAGCAAGACTCGGAATAGTTGCCTCGCACATCCCTCTCAATGTGCGCAGAATCGCAGTCTTGGCATTTCCCACAACCAAAATTTCCCCGTAGTGTGCGGCCTTCATTTTCGAGGTAGAATCGACAACAACAACTAGGACCATCTCATTCACTCCCACACCCGTCAAGATGGTATGTTTGCTTTGCCTCGAAATGAATCCATTAAATGAGTCTATGCGGATGACTGACTTCTGCCACCTAGGTCCGCTACGCCCCCGCCGAACGCATTCCCAGTGCCCGCTCGGCTCGAAGCCGTGGCAGTTACCTGCGAGTCAGTTTCAAAAACACCCGCGAGACTGCTCAAGCCATCAACGGATGGAAACTCGATCGCGCCCTCCAATACCTCGAAAATGTCAAACAACTCAAGGAGGCTGTGCCAATGAGAAGATATGCCGGTAGCACTGGACGGACCGCACAAGGTACGCCAACCCTGAGAGCCAGAGAATGGTGGATCATCTCTTGGGAGAATGTTTCTACAAACGCACTCTGTCGAGGGTCTTGGGGCGCAATCTTCACAATATGATGGGGACGAGTTTAGATGAAGGGGCCGATTTTCTGCCATGCTATCTGGCGCGAATCCTAAATGCAGTTTGCTAACATTTTTCTCCTCCGCAGGCAAACAATTCGGTGTCTCAAAAGCGCGCTGGCCTGTCAAGTCGGCCGAGTTCCTGTTGGGTCTGCTCAAGAACGCCGAGGCCAATGCCGACACCAAGGGTCTGGACACCTCAAAGCTCATCGTCAAACACATCCAAGTCAACCAAGCACCGAAGCAGCGACGTCGCACATACCGTGCCCACGGCCGTATCAACCCGTACATGTCCAACCCATGCCACATCGAGTTGATCTTGACGGAAGCTGAGGAGGCCGTGTCCAAGGCCGAGGAGTTGGGTGTTGCCAAGGGAACAAGATTGTCCACCAGACAGCGAGCTGCTCGGAGACAGAAGGCCATCACGGCGGCATAAGGGGGTTGATGAAAATGCTCAGTGTGTTCTTTCCTCTTCCGAATGTTGATTGATGGGGGACGGTGAGCAGATACGAAGGGGGCTTTCTTCGTGCATTGGGGAGTCCATGGAAAAGAAGCGATAGGTCGGCTCGGAATGACCCTAGATGCGCTCGTTCGTCGTCTCGATTTGCCGGAAGGCTTTGCTCTAAGCGACTGAATGAGAAAAGTACTTGTGCAAACCCGTGGCCGGTGCTTTCGACAATACAAAACATTTGATCACAATGCGGCTATTCATGGTTCATTCCGCACTGTTTCAACATGATCACCGTGCTTCGTGCTTCAACTTGTCCCTCGCGACGTGGTCTCCGTGTTACTAACGTTGTCTATTCTCCCTTAGGTCTTGTGCTGGAGTTGACCTGTTATAGTCTTCGGACAAGCGTGACCTGTGATGGTGTCGACACCCCGTTGAGTTTCAGCCATACCTCCACAGATAAAATCAGGATGCTGAACAGTGGCTCAGCACGTGAAATCGATTGACGTTTTCCCCAACAATCTTCCTGTCTCTGCTCATCCCGGACTATGTGTTTGCGGTTTCCACGCTTCGGTCCGTACGCGAGGCTTGGATAAATGACAGTGTCTGAGACCTGCATTCACATTTTCCAGCTGTTGCGCTTGACTCTCTCTACACATTATGGAATTCTTGACTAACCAGTTCATTCAACCATACTGGCATGTAAAGTGTCGTCCGCCAGCCGACCTCTTGGGGATTCCGCCAGTCTTTACTAAGCGTGCCCATGCTATTCAAATTTCATACAAGAGATTGATGTACAGCAGAGCCAAGGATAAGGGCAACTGTCGCCCATAAGATTCCATACACAGTCTGATGTTTAACTTTCTCCAAAAGCCACCACGGAGTTCCCAAGACTGCTCCTTCTAGTGGTAGTCCTCCGAATGAAGCATCGATCCGGGTTCTGTCTCCGCAATATCGATAATTAATACCCCACATCTATTCTACAAGCGTCAGCCCCACCAGGCTGACCTTGAATAGGGGCCAAGCCTGGACGAGGTCAATGAATCACACTACTACTCTCTATGAAAATCATCCGATGCGCTGTGAGTGCCTAGTGTCTCTCGCTTCACAGGGGCAGGTCCCCTCCCAACCCCGAACTACGTGACTCCAACGCTCACTTTGGTGGAATGATCGCCCGCCAAGTGCCTGCCCCGGTGGACGAGAACGACTGCTGGGCATATTCCCAAACATGGAATCCCCACGTTGCATTTGCCAAGGGACCGTTTCCAACGTCAAGAGCAGATCGGCAGTTGGAGTGTGTCAGTCCCAAGAACAGGGTCATTGGTCTTGACGTGACAAAATGGGTTGGTTCTAGAAAACTTTCAAGGTCCCAAGTCCGGTGGTTGTAGGTCAGCCCCTGCTACCGAGCTGGGGCACCAAGTCGTCGAACTGCTTTCCGGTGGACATCACACCTGAAGCTCCAGGTGCATGACAATATTCCTCGTCGCACGTCAGTCTCATAAACGGGCGTCTTGAGGGCGATTGGCATCATGTCTTCTTCGTGAGTTTTCTCCCCTTTGCTTGCTTTTGCGAAAGTCTCTCTTGCCAAACGATTTATTCTTCAATGAAAAAAAATGACTGAAAAACAGCATACTCAGAGGCTCGAATACGGCGCTGACGAGAAGGAGATTGGAATACATACTCCCGACAATACTAATGGAACAGACGCCCTCCGTACCGTGGACGACGGCTACGATGCGGAGCAAATCGAGCCTCACTACGACCAGAAGGAAGTCCAAAGGATTTTGAGGAAAATTGACTACCGCCTCATTCCACTGCTCGGTGTCTTGTACCTGTGAGTTCGATATAGCTTTGAATACCGGGCTACTGTATCCTGACCAAGTGCAGTCTCGCGTACATCGACCGAAGCAACATCGGCAATGCCAAGATCGCAGGCATGTACGAAGACCTCGAGCTCTACGGGATGCGCTACAACACGGCCTTGACGGTTTTCTTCGTGCCATATGCACTGTTTGAAGTATGGGCCTGAGTGATCAGAGGTTCACAATATAATACTAAGGGGACAACAGGTCCCTTCCAACATCGTCCTCAAAATGCTCCGTCCGTCCATCTGGATCTCCATTCTCTGCTTCCTCTGGGGTCTTGTCATGACCTTGATGGGGGTTGTTACCACCTACGAGGGCCTTGTGACTGCTCGATTCTTCCTGGGGCTGACGGAAGCTGGGTTCTTTCCTGCCGCGACGTACTGTGAGTTCCCCTTTGCCGCTGCACGCCTACAATAAAGTCTAGACAGAGGGGATTCGATGCAAAGCACACTGGTAACCAATGAGTCAACTACATGGACAATGCTAACTTGTATCCTCTGCCAGTGCTCACCATCTGGTACCACCGCTACGAGGTGCAACGCCGCATGGCTGTCTTTTACGCAGCAGCCTCTCTCTCCGGCGCATTCTCAGGGCTGCTGGCCTTTGCGATTGAGAAGATGGATGGCATAGCCGGCCTCGCGGGGTGGAAGTGGATCTTCATCCTCGAGGGACTGGCGCCCGTCGCTGTGTCCTTCACCTTGTACTTCCTGCTGCCCGACAAGCCGGAGACTGCGCGTTTCCTCACCAAAGAAGAGCGCGAGTTCGTCGTCAATCGCATCGCCCTGCACACCGGATCGGGCCAAGGCAGGGTGACCAACGTCGACAAGATGAGTTGGAATTATATCAAGGCCGGCTTTGCGGACTGGAGGGTTTGGTGTGCTGTCATCCCCTTCTGGGCCTGCAGCATCGGCACCTACGGCTTCACGGCGACAGTGCCGTCGGTAATCAAGGAAATGGGCTATAGTTCCGCGAATGCCCAACTTATGACTATCCCGATTTACGTGGTTGGGATGATCGCGACCGTGATTGTGGCGTTCTGGGCCGACCATGTCCATCAGCGGACTCCGTTCATTATGGGCGGTTTGGCGATTGGAGTCATCGGCTTCATCGCGCAGCTGGCCATCCCACACCCCAAGTATTCGGGCGTCTCATACTTCTTCCTCTTCTTCGTGGCGACGGGTCTCTATTGCCCGTTCACGTGTGTTGTGACCTTGGCGGCCAACAACCTTGCGCCATCCTCGAAGCGCGCAGTCGGTGAGTTTGTTCTCTCTCATCCCCAACCTTTTTATCTTACTCCAACACAATCACTTCCCTCTTACCTCCCCGAAGGTGCACAATATATTGAGACAAGCCAACACACTGACCTTGACACCTTGTAGGAATGGCCCTACTCATCAGCGTCGGCAACATGGGCGGCATCTGCGGCAGCAACATCTACTTCGCGGCCCAGGCGCCCAAGTACCCGACCGGCTTCGGTGTGAGCCTGGGCATGTGCGCCATGGGCATCATCGCCGCGTTTGTGCTCCGCGTGGCGTACCGGCGCGAGAACGCCCGGAGGGACGAGCTGTTGGCCCGCGAGGGCGAGGCGGCCATTAAAGCGAAGTACACCGAGCAAGAGCTGCTGGATTTGGGCGACAAGAGTCCATTTTATCGGTATACCCTGTGAGATCGGCTCAAAGCGAGAGACGAGGAGAAGGAGAAGTAGGGACGAGGGTTGTTGGTAGTTGGTTGTTGGTTTGAGAGAGTAATGATGACGGTGGCACGACGTTGACGACAACGAGAAGACAGTGCCTCATCCGGGCAGTCTGCGTCTGTTTATCAGGGCCAATGAGAGAGACTCAAGGTG